TCTCTATCTTCTGCTTCCTCTAACCCTACTTCTCCTACCTTAAGCAAGTCCCTTGCCAAATCTGGGTCTCAATTTCCTCACAGGAACTGATCAATAACCAAAGTACAACCATATAATAATAAATAATACAGCCATTTGAAGGGGGAAAAAGTACGACTCTGTATCAAGTGACAGAGATCCTTGACCAGGATATTGTTCAGTGCTCTGCAAACTGCAGAGAAGTATGTGGTATGTTAGTTGTTGAAAGATGCATATATACATATACACATGGATGCTTATATACACACAAACTATTTCTAAAGGAAAGACAAGAATCAGGCAACATTGGCTGACTCAGGCAAGGGGACCTAATTGGCTGGATTGCTCAGGGATGGTACCAGAAGGTGTAGGGGACTTACTTTTCACTGTATACCCTTTATGCTTTTTAAATTTTTACTATGTACATATATTATCTACTCATAAGATTAATTTTTAAAATAAATAAACGTAATCAACTGTGCTAAAATCACCAGAGATTATTACCTAGAATTGGGAACTGCAATAGTGTCTGAAGCCTGAAACTAGATTAACACAGACATATTTCCTTAGTTTTTTACTAAAAAAAAATTATAATATGGTTACTTTCCTCTAAATTTTTATACCTGTTACAGGTATAAATCAGTTTAGGTTTATATTCAACCCACTCATTTTTCCAAACTTATAACCTCACTCTATTAAGAGTAAAATATCTGAAACATCCCATTTGTGCAATTACTGTCGAGTGTACCCAGCCTATATGTTTTCACACTTCCAGAAATAGGAAAGTCACCACTCCTAAAGCCACACATTCCAACTCTGAAAAGCCCCAACTGCTCAGAAGTTCCCCATTTGTTGAGCCAGGCCCTGTGGCTTCTACCTGCACATCTCTTCTGCAGTAAGTACCACGTGCTATACCAAGCACAGAGGATACCCTTTAAGGTGCTCAGCATATAGGAGGGAGAAAGAAAAGAAAATCAAACTAGTACAATATTCTTACAGTATAACTAGGGCTATGAGAGAGGAGAAGGGCACCGTGCAGACAGAAAAGGGCACCTGACACATGGGAGGAGAGGTGACACCGGGTCACAGCTTTATGAGATAAACAGGAGTTACTCAGGTAAAGAATGAAGAAAGGGCATTTGTGGCAAACAGCAGCACTGTGACAGATCACAGAGCATTCAGGAAATTCCAAGACAGAAAAAAATGACACTAAATGACTGGCTAGATAGGAGGCAGAAAAGAAAGGCCAAGACCAGACCATAAAGGCCTCTGACGAAATCAAGAGCTTTATTCCGGTAGCAACAGAGAAGCCTAGGGTGGCTTTGTGGAGGGTGCAACGAGAGGTCAGTCCAGAGGAAAGGAGACCAGTTAGAAGACCACTTCTGAACCCAGCAAGAAACAATGAAGGCCCAAACTAAGGGTGAGGCATTGGGTCACAAGAGAGGTAGGAAACGAATTTAAGATGTAATTATTAGAGAGAATCAACTAGATTTAGAAAGTGTAGGAGAAGGAAACTAGGATCCCTTCTACATTTCTGGCCTGGACATGTAAATAAATGGTCATACCCTCCAAAAAAATAAGGAAACTTCTGCCTCACAAAGAATATCATACCACAGTGGCAGCCCAAATGTGCACTAACAATGATATTTATACCTGCCAAAGAAGTAACTTGGAAATTATGCGCTATAAAATAATGTGAATGATATGGGAGTACAATTACAGCTATACCAAGGCTTCTCCTGACCCAAAATGCACCACACAAACACAGGTTTCCCTTCAAACATATATATTCACCTGAGCCCCTCCTACCTGCTCTCTCCCACTCCAATATCCTCCTGTAACAGGCTCCTAAGACTCAGACACCCATTACCAGCAATGTCAGGGCCCTGCGCTCACTCCAAATAACAAACAGTGTATATTAACTGTTTTAAAGGAATCAGTAAAAGAAGGTTTTATTTTGTTCAGTCCTGACTGCCACTTCCCACATTGCCTTTGGACTCACAAATCACTACCCATACACTTGCCCAGGAAACCTTTTCATATCAGCATTCTTTTTTCCTAAGTGTGCCCAGAAATATTTACACTCTGTTCAAAGTCAATAGAAGCACCTAGAACAGAATTCTCTAATAAACCTTTCACCATTTTGAAATACATTTATTATTTGTTTTTATATGTATCAACATCAAAGGTAAGAATAATAACAAAGAATTAGCTATCAATTTTTTGGAGAATATAAGAAGCTTCTCTGCCTGAAAGATGTTCATAGAAACACTGGACCTCAGAGTTGCAAGGGAACTTAAAATTCAGTAACAACCACTCCACAAATACTTGAATTCCTTCTACAACAGCCTTACTGAATGGTTATCCAGCGTAGGTCTGACCTCTTCCAGGGAGAGGAAACACACTGCCCTCACCACAGCACAGGCTGAAATACAAAACTAGTTTCAAAAACAGATGCAAAAAGTAGAGGTTGAAAGGGTGATGAGGAATGAGATTTTGTTAAAAGATAGTTTCAAATTATCTCCCCACAAATTACACACTAATCATAAAGGGAAAAACTCAACGGGAGAAATCTGGTGAGGAGAGTGTTCGGAGTCACCACCACCAGTCACAGGACAAACTGGCACCTTGTGCACTGGGAAGGACAGCACCTTTGTGGTATCACTGCCAAAGAGATATTCCTGAATCTAATCATGAGGAAACCTCAGACAACGCAAACTGAGGGGCATTCTGCAAAATAACTGGCCTATATGTTTCAAAAATGTTAAGGTCAAAAAACATAAAGAAAGGCTACGGAACTGTTCCCGATTGATAGGGAACTAAGAGACATCAACTAGTAAAAATTAGGCTATGAAGAACATTGTTGCGATAATTGATAAAATGTGACTACTGTGGATTAGATAATAACATAATAATGTCAAATTTCCTGGTTTTGATCATTGTACTTTGGTCGTATAAAGAATGCCCTTTTTCTTTACACACTGACATATGGGGAGCGGGAGGGAGAGGGAGATTGGAAGGCAAACAAGTATATTTAAAATGTTGGTATTAGGAAATGAAGATCAAAAATAAGCACTTATTCACTGGTACATTTGGCAGTACCTTTCAAAGTTTTAAACACGCACACGCATTGGCTAGCCATTTCACCTCTTAGCAGTAATTTACTGTTCAGAAATAAGGCCATAAGTGCACAAAAACTTCTGAACAAAGATGTTCTTAACATATTTATATACATACACACACATATATATGTACATATACACACACAGGGATACACATTAACACATTTTTTTCTGTGTTTCTATATTCATCAAAAGCAAAGGTTGAAAAATTTTTAAATAAAAGAAATAGCAAAGGTAGAAACATCAATAAAAGATGAACTACCAATTGTTTTCATCATCCCATTACCTAGATTTTGCCTACAAAATGAAATGAGGGAAACTATGTAACAGTGAAGGGAAGCATTGTTTGAAATAATAAAATGCTATTAAAAATCCATGTGTCCCATCAATGAGGTACTTTACAGAAAGCAATATAGCATACATCCGTACAATATCATATTATAAAACCACTAAAGAGAAGGAGTGAGAGGAAAAGAAAGATGCCTAGATAAGTTATTCTGTAGGGGAAAAAGTACTATACAACATACACGTCTAAAAATCCCTTTTTTGTTTAAAAAGGGAAAAAAAGGGGACCTTGAAGAAGTTATACCAAACCATAAACAATTACTTCTGAATATAGAACTACAAAGTCTTAACAGTTCTTTTTCTTTTTTATTTTTTTGAGACAGAGTCTCACTCTGTCGCCCAGGAGGGAGTGCAGTGGTGCAATCTCAGCTCACTGCAACCTCCACCTCCCGGGTAGCAACTCTCCTGCCTCAGTCTCCTGAGTAGCTGGGAATACAGGTGTGTGCCACCACATCTGGCTAATTTTCATATTTTTAGTACAGACGGGGTTTCACCATGTTGGCCAGGATGGTCTTGATCTCCTGACCTCGTGATCCACCTGTCTCGACCTCCCAAAGTGCTGAGATTATAGGCATGAGCCACCATGCCAGGCCTAGTCTTAGAGTTCTTAAAACATTTTTGTAATATTTGAATTTTCCCAATAATCATTGATGTTTTCTAAGTAGAAAAAAAAATGAAGATTTTAAAAAATCTATATTAAAGTGGCCAATTTAAATAACTTGCAGCAAATATCATGACAGACGCTACTCTATAACACTTTTAAAAAAAACAACTCTACAATAGGTATTCTTATTTATAGTAGCAAGATTATTTTTATTTCCTAAATAAAATCCTATTCAAAAGCCTATATACAAAGTCGATGAAAGAAACTGAAGTTGGTTGGGTATAGGAGGCACCTCCAGGCTCAGCCTCCGACTCTCTGACTTAGGAGAAAACTTATTATGTTTGAGGGACCCAGGCAGTCAGAGCAAATGTGAAGAATTCAGCAACAAGTAGCCCAGGCGAGAGATTCTTAAGTGATTGGATTTAGCCCTTAGGAGTAAAGAAGCCTCGCCAGAGGACACATGGGTGGCGGCATCTGCTGTACCTTTCTTAAACCGTTTCTCCATGCGTGGGAGAACTGTTTCCATTCTGTCCAACATGTCTAAAAGGCCTGTCTTACCAGTCCCCACCCCTGCACCCGTATCATTTCACCACAGCAGCACTGTCATCATTGGGTCCAAATTCACCCTTTTCAAGCTAGGTCTGGATCTCTGTTTGAAGAGCCTAAAAGGATGTAAGTGCTGTGTCATATGCTAATCAATTAAATGACAGCCACCTTCGTTTTAAAGGATTTGAGAAATTTTAGAGGAATAGGCCAAGTATTTGAAATATAAATCTGAAAACACTCAGTACTATTATATCGCATCACCGGCCGACCCTTCGGTACAGATGGCAGCCCAGTCCTCAAACACAGCCCTTGCCTCTGTGGCTGGGTGACCCTGTCATGATGTCTGTGGTTAGTCACTCTCTTACCTTGGACTTCGCATGCCAGGTGAAGTGCAGGAAATTTGTCTCACTGGGTACTAACAGATTAAAGGATAGAGCGTAGTGACTAATAAGGTCATTTCTCACATAATAAAGTTCTGCATCAAGACCTAGAAAAAAATAGGAAAAAAAATAATTAAACACTTAAAATACCCTCAGAATCATCCCTATCAGTATTTCAAATACAAATAATAGAGTGAAGATAATATTGATAAGCAAATGAACATCACAAATGGCCCTCCCATGGGCTGCCTTATGAAGCAAGAAAGACACACGGTTTTATGATCACCAAGAAAGATGAAGAAATTGAGACTTGAAACAATTAAGCAGTTATCCAGCCGAAAACAGGTGTGCTAGAACTAGAACTCTGGCAGCCACTCTGTCTTCCGAGGGCCAGTGTGATGCTCTTTCTTCTGGACACAGTGCTTCTTAGAGTAACAGCTACAAAGAAATGCCCCTTCTCCCAAAAAATTTATGTAGACTTAGGAAGGGAGATTCAAAATGAAAGGGAGAAAGGCGCCTCAGATAAAACGTAAGCCTGAGCCAAGCCTCAAGCCCCCAGCCAGAGATGACCTCTGCTTCCTCTGACAACACAAGGTTCTTGCTGTTCTGATAGCATTTACCATGGTACACACTTGCACCAGGTGTCTTGCAGGCACATGCTGTCTTGCCTACCAAGACTACAAAGGGAAGAACACTATGTTTTTCACGGTATCTGCAGGACACAGCTCTCTGCACAAAACATAAACACTTGTTAACCAAGAGGTTAGTACTACAGACAAAACAAAAATAAATGAAGAGCCTGGAATGCCAGAGAAGTGACTCCCAAGTTTCACTCACTCCCATACCACCTTCTCAACCAGGGCACATGCAATCTCCCAAACGTATCAGGCTCTCAATTTTGTCACACCCTTTTATCCTACCTGTATTTAATATTTTTCTTTAAAACTCATTTAATTTGTTAAAATAAAAATTTGTAAGGCAAAATTTAAACACTACTTTTCAGTGGCAAATCAACAGTTACTGTTTAAAAAAAAAAAGTTATCAAAAAACAAAAGAAAAACAAAACAAATGCACTAAATTCTAGCTCAATTCTGGTGCCTACCAAGAAGGCAGTGAGCTCGAGCCTAGCTCATTGTTTATAAAAAGGGAGGAGGGAAGTATAATCAAGCATTTCAGAAATGTAAAAAAAAAAATAAAAAAACTCACACAGGATTTCCCCATGATCATCCAAGGAACTGAAAGACTAAAAGCAGGGAGTAACTTTCTCTTGAATTGATTTACTGTTATTTGAAGTTCTATCCAGGTGTCCCTCTAGTAATACATGACATATATATTCCACAAGTTAGAGGGGGAAAAGATACTGATGACAACAGCCAAAACGCAAATTTCACATTTACTGAGCCGGCACGATGGGGTCTGAAACCTCACAGTATGCAGAGAGGTCAAGATGGAGATCTCATACCTCTTAAGAATAGAGACCTAGAAACAAATCACTCGGCTACAGGTATTTATCCTGTAAAATTCGTTTTCTCGTTTCTGAACTAGATGTAATAAAATCATTAATGCAGAAATGAAATTTAAGGCATGCTACATAGGGGGAAGCTGCTGCACTTGTAGGGTCCAGCCCTACAGGGCCTGTGGGTTTTTCTCCTTGTGTGCGGAGACCAGAGATCATAGAAATAAAGACACAAGACAAAGAGATAGAAGAAAAGACAGCTGGGCCCAGGGGACCACTACCACCAAGACGCAGAGACCGGTAGTGGCCCCGAATGCCTGGCTGTGCTGTTATTTATTGCACACAAGGCAAGGGGGCAGGGTAAGGAGTGTGAGTCATCTCCAGTGATAGGTAAGGTCACGTGAGTCGTGTGTCCAACGAACAGGGGGCCCTTCCCTATTTGGTAGCCTAGGTGGAGACAGAGAGGGGCCAGCTTACGTCGTTATTTCTTCTATGCATTTCTCGGAGAGATCAAAGATTTTAATCCTTTCACTAATTCTGCTTCTGCTACTGCTACCTAGAAGGCAGAGCCAGGTGTACAGGGTGGAACATGAAAGTGGACCGGGAGCATGACCGCTGAAGCATAGCATCGCAGGGAGACATTTAGGTCTCCAGATGACTGCAGGTGGGCCTGAGTGATGTTAGGCCTTCCACAAGAGGTGGTGGAGCAGAGTCTTCTCTAACTCCCCCAGGGAAGAGGGAGACTCCCTTTCCTGGTCTGCTAAGTAACCGGTGCCTTCCCAGGCACTGGCACTACCACAAGACCAAGGTCTGCTAAGTAACGGTGCCTTCCCAGGCACTGGTGTTACCGCTAGACCAAGGAGTCCTCTAGTGGCCCTATCCGGGCATGACAGAGGGCTCACACTTTTATCTTCTAGTCACTTCTCACCATGTCCCCTCAGCTCCTATCTCTGTATGACCTGGTTTTTCCTAGGTTATAATTGTAGAAGACAGATTATTATAACATTGGAATAAAGAGTAATGCTACAAACTAATGATTAATAATATTCATATGTAATTATATCTATATTCTATTTCTAGTATAACTATTCTTGTTCCATACATTTTCTTTATTATACTGGAACAGCTTGTGCCTTCAGTCTCTTGCCCCAGCACCTGGGTGGCTTGCCACCCACAGCACTAGCTGGGTAGTACTGCTTTTATTTATCCTACAAAAGATATTGAAAGCAGAGAGAGAAATGTAGACCCTTCTGCAAAAGCCTCTCCCTGCTGGCAGGAGTGTTAGCAAATATCCAGGAATGGAGGATTGGTGGTGTTGGAGAAAGGCGTTAGAGGAAAAATTGTAAATAATTTAAATTTGCCTTTTTTCCTAAGTCTGGGTCTTACTCTAGTCTAGATAGGTGCTGTTTACTTAGAAATATATGTCAGATAAATAAAAAGAAGAAAGTTACACGAGGCAGTATTGACATGAGACAAACTAGAACTCAAGTTGAAAGGATTTCAAAATAATTGTGTTAATATAAAATGTATTAATGAGTTCACATTAATAAAAACCACAAGAGGATACAGTAGTACAACTGAAAAAAAAGGGCTCCAAATACAGAAAGTAAAAACCAACAGGACAAAAAGGCACAAAGAAACACACAAATCCACAACCACAAACGGAAACTAACATCCTCTCAGAAATCAAAAGATCAGAACAATCAGGTATAGTGTTACACCTGTAATCCCAGCTCTTTGGGAGGCTGAAGCAAGAGGATCAGTTGAGGCTGGAAGTTCGAGACCAGCCTGGGCAACACAGCAACAACCCATCTCTATAAAAAACTTTTTAAAAAATAGCTGGGAGTGGTGGTGCACACCTGTAGTACTAACTACTCAGGAGGCGTGAGGATGGCTTGAGCTCAGGAATTTGAGGTTACCGTGAGCTATGATCACACCACTGCACTCCCGTCTGTGTAACACAAGACCCTCTCTCTTTAAAAAATAAGATCAAAACAGATACAAATTGAGTGTGGACATAGATGATCTGAACATAAAATTATGGGACATGAAAAAGTGAGGGGGGATTAATCATGAATTAGACCACATATATTTAAAATTTTTTAAATATAAAAACAGATTCAAACCAAAATCATAGAGGCTACCTTCCTTGATCAAACACCATATGATAAAGATATTAACCATAAGGATGAAACCAAAAGAGTATTATTAGAAAAGACTAATACACTTCACAAGACTGATCAAGGAAAAAAGAGAAAAAACACCAAACACAAATTACCAATACTAGTAATGAAAATGAAATATTACTACAAATCCTATAGATGCTAAAAAGATAAAAAGATTAGTATAAACAACTTTGACAATAAAATAAACAAATTAGATGAAACAAGAACCCTTTAAAAACAAAATTCACCAAACTAAAAGAAATAAAAATTTCAAACAATTAAAAACCTATCCCAAAAGAAAGCTCCAGGTCCAGATGGCTTCATTAGTGAATTCTATCAAACATTTAAGGAAGACACCACACCAATCTTACATAAACTCTGTCAGAAAATAGTTGAAGAGAATACCTCCTAAGTCATCTGATGAGGCCAGCAGCATCATCTTGATACAAACTTACTAAAACATTATGAGAAAAGAAAATTACAGAACAACATCCCTTATGAACATAGATTAAAACATTCTCCACAAAACATTAGCAAATTCAATACAAGAATACATAAAAGGATTAACACATCATGACCAAGTATATATGAAAGGTTAACCTTCTAAAAATCAGTATAATTTACCACATTAACAAAATAAAAACCCGTATCATCTCAATAGATAGAGAAAAAACATCTGACAACATTCAAAGCCTGTTAATGATAAAAACTGTCAACAAACTAGGAACAGACAGAAACTTTCTCAGTTTGGTAAAGAACATTAAAAAAAACCCTAGAGCTAATATCATACTCAATGGTGAATTTTTAAATCCTTATTCCTAAGATCAGAAACAAGGCAAAGATGTCCACGTCCACAACTTCTATTCAACCTTGTACTGGAGGTCCTAGCCAATGTATTCAGACATAAAAAGCACAAGGATGAAGCAAAACTGTCATTGTTCACAGATGACATAATGGTATGTATAGAAAGCACTATGAAATCTACTAAAATACTATTAAAACCAACTAGTGAATTTAGCAAGGTCTCCGAATACAAAGCCAATACTTTAAAATCAATTGTATTTCTATATTAGCAACAACTAGAAAATAAAACTTAAAAAGTCAATACTGTAACATTAAAAAATACCAGGGACCTAGGAATAACTCTAAGGCTATGTAAGATCGCTACACTGAAAACTGTAAAACATGGCTAAGAAAAATTAGAGAAGACCTTAAAAAGTGGAAAGCCATACTGTGCAATTCTCCTTAGATAAGCCTCAATACTGTTAAGATGTCAAGTCTCTCATATTGATCTGCAGATTCAAAGTAATCTCAATCAAAATCTCAAGAGATTTTTTGAAAAAATTAATCACAAAATTTACATGACAACAACAATCTTGAAAATGAAAATGCCTTGGAAGAGGAACCAAAGCAATTTAATTTTAGTATTTTCAACAAGAGATATAAAGCAACTAGATGCATAAATATACAGGAAAAAAACACCTTA